GCCAACAGTGTATACGTAGAAAGGCACAAACTTCAATTCACTTGTTTGGCTACGATGTATAAACTCCATACTATCACACACATTTAAACAACCTCCAAAACAAAATGTTATGCCAGCTTTTTAAATCAATCAAAAGACAAAATGAGCCGGGAGTCGGTGGCGCACGCCTTTAATCCCAGCACTCGGGAGGCAGAGCCAGGTGGATCTCTGTGAGTTCGAGGCCAGCCTGGGCTACCAAGTGAGCTCCAGGAAAGGCGCAAAGCTACACAGAGAAACCCTGTCTCGAAAAACCAAAAAAAAAAAAAAAAAAAAAGACAAAATGATCCTGCAATCATGGATTTGAAGAAAGCTTTCTTAGAGCCAGGCATAGTGCTGTACACTGTTAGTCCCAACAGTCAGGATCAAGACCAGCCTGGTCTAAGTAAGTTCCAGGACAGTCAGAGCTATGTAGAAGCCCTGCCCCTACCCCCACCCCAAGAAAGAAAGAAAAGGAAAATCCTTCTTAGTTCAATACAAATGCTCACTGTACAACAAATTGAAAAAAGCGTTCATTAGAAAATAGGAAACACTTTATCACCAGGAAGCTTTGTAATAGAGACAGGAGACAGTTGGATGTTCTCAAGAGACTAGAGCCAGAAGACCCAAACCTGGTTCAAACGAGGAAATAAACAGAGAGAACACAGCCAGTGTTCTTCTCTCAAGCAAAGTAACCCAGAAGATTCTCCCACCACCCACACTGCATCACAAACCAACCACAGCAGGTGACTATCTCCCCCACACCACCCCCCGGGTCCCACTGCTCTCATTCTGACCCAGAGCAGAACAAAAATTCCAGAAATATTGGTGTGTCAGGAATTTAACTCAATATTAAAGCCTTAAAAAATGGACAAAAATGAACGTTACCCCACTTTAGGACTAAAACACACTAAAGTGAGCCAAAGACTTGTAAATAGTAGGTGCCTAAGGAAGTTTTTATTCTGGGACAGGGCAGGTGAATAAAATGATGGGCAGACTATCAGCCCACAAGAGATAAAAGGGAAGCCAAGAATGTCAACCAGACTGCTCAGGTGCCAGACTTACACCAACCACATGTGGTGGTCCTGTACCGAGTGGCAAGAAGCCCAGCAGGGCCTCAGACCCTCATTCACACTTGTGCTCTCCTACATCCAACTGTGCTAAGAGATTTTGTTTTCAAAGGACTTGGGACCCAAGTTTTACTGCTTGTCTGGATCACACCTATGATTCAGTGACTCCGTGTCAGTAACCAACTTTAACTGTACCCACCTTGCTGCTAAGTCTGCCTTGTGTATTAATCTCCAATCTCTAGGATATTGACTCTCGTTTTTAACAAAACTCCAAAGTCATAGGTAGCATTTTGCAGGGATTTAACTTTTCCATAGACTATAAAGTTAGAATTTAATTCTTCCAACATCTATCTTGCCCAAAATTAATTACATAAATTTCTTATTATAACCGTTTTGATCTATATACATTTTTAATGAGGAAAATAAAAGTGAAAAAGTATCAATGCTTCTCCAGCATAAATATAAAAATCATTTAAAATCATTTCTTGTATATCATGGTTCTGATCATGAAATTAAAAACCGAATTACGCCGGGCGGTGGTGGCGCACGCCTTTAATCCCAGCACTCGGGAGGCAGAGCCAGGTGGATCTCTGTGAGTTCGAGGCCAGCCTGGGCTACCAAGTG